ATTTCCAGGAGATTCTCTGGTAATCTAGTTGGAATTGAATAGAGCAGATAACAAACTTTTGCTAGGACAGGCATTTTGATGGAAGAAATTCTCCCCAACCATGTTATTATCAGTTATGTATGAAAGCATGTATATGTTGAATCATGGGCTTTTAATTAAAAGAATTAGTTTCACTTCAAGTAGCTAGTATTATTGCCCCTAAATATTTTACAGATATTTTTGTAACATGGATACCTGTTAATATCTGTAGAGATGTTCTCTCTTGGCTGATCCCTAATTTTTTAGATTATTTTTTAAACTGACCTTTAAACCAGATACTAAACCATATTCTGAAAAAATGTTCGATATTCTTGAAATCTCTATGAAAGGATGTGAAACTGGTACTACCATATCATTTGCAAAAAGGTGCAAGAGACATCTGTGACCCTTAATTTGTACACTGGATAAAACAGGATCTTGCCTTAATAAATTAGCTTATGGTTCTAAAGTCAGGGCAAATAATATAGGTGATAGCTAGCAACCCTGTTTTATTCCATAATTGATTAAAATGGGAAGAGAATCTAATTACGTGTATGATTAGAATAGACAGCCCTCACTCAGGACAGAGAAGAACCCAATCCATTACTTCCCCAACTTTAAAAAGAAAACCTCACCCACTATGTCAAATGTTTTTGTAGCATCTAATGATGGTATATCATAGTGATTGCCTTTACTTTTGGAACTATGGTGTGCCACATTAAAAAGTTTCTGTATGGAGTCTGAAATTTGTTTTCAGCTTATAAAACCAAACTGATCCATTTTTACACAAGAATCAATTATTTGAGCTCTCCCATTAGCTAAAATACTGATTTATTACAGTAAGAGGATAGTATGAGTCAACTTCTGGATTTTTTCTGGCTTTGGAGCACAAATTATACAAGATCTAGTCCATGACAGTGGCAAACAGCCCTCATTTAATATACTGTACATAGAATTGAAAAAAAAATTAATAGCGGCTTTTCCAGTTGATCCAGCCTTTGTAAAAATCTCCACAGAATCCATTAATCCGAGGAGCTGTACAAGGTTTTAATCTGACAGCTTTTCTAAATTAATCCATTATAATTGGACAATTTAAGTGTGCTCTATGATTTTCATGTAACTTACCAACATTAGACTTCTGCAGCAACTGATCAATTAAAATACTACCTGGATTATTAGAAGAGTAAAGTTTGGCAAAAAAATTAATAAAGGTGTCATTAATTTTACATATTGGTTCTTTCCATAAGCATCAGAAGTTTGCTGTTTTACTAATTGTGACTTTGGGAGCTGTACAGTTAAGGCCAGAAGGAGCAACTGCTACATCAGTATTATCTAACAGCACTAACCAAACTGGTTTGTTTAGAAAAACTCTATTAACTGATTTCAAAACTGGCTAAAATTTTTCCACATTTTAAGCAGCATTAGGGAAATAGTTAGCTGATCAAAAGTGAGCTGAACTCTTGTGTTTGACTATGACTTAGGAAGATAATCACTCTTAACATTCTTCTGATTTCAACACGGTGAGTGGTGAAACTCTTTTATTTATTTTTTATTTCATCCTTTATTTAGCCAGTTCTGCAGTATCCAGAAGCAACTTAATTATGCTGTAACTCAGTGGTTCTTAACGTTTTTGAAAGAAATGCCCCCTTGAGCCATTGAGGAAGTTATCATTGCCCCTCTTCCCGCAGTGATGATATCTTGTTTGTTTGTTTGTTTGTTTAAGACATACATATTGGTTCTTTCCATAAGCATCAGAAGTTTGCTGTTTTACTAATTGTGACTTTGGGAGCTGTACAGTTAAGGCCAGAAGGAGCAACTGCTACATCAGTATTATCTAACAGCACTAACCAAACTGGTTTGTTTAGAAAAACTCTATTAACTGATTTCAAAACTGGCTAAAATTTTTCCACATTTTAAGCAGCATTAGGGAAATAGTTAGCTGATCAAAAGTGAGCTGAACTCTTGTGTTTGACTATGACTTAGGAAGATAATCACTCTTAACATTCTTCTGATTTCAACACGGTGAGTGGTGAAACTCTTTTATTTATTTTTTATTTCATCCTTTATTTAGCCAGTTCTGCAGTATCCAGAAGCAACTTAATTACGCTGTAACTGACATAGTGGTTCAATCATAAACTCTCCCTCCTAGTACTGTTGTTTCCTAAATGCACAGCTGTTTTGTCTTCAGGGTCTGCCTGGGGCTTAATTGATCATTTGCAGAACTGTTCATAGCACCCACTTTTTTCTGTCCTGGTTTAGTGGAATGTTTTGAACCTTCTAGCTGTAATCCTCAAAATTATGCTCAAGTGACTCTAGTTTATTAGAGATCTAATTAACCTGGTGAAAAACAGAACAGTCTCTCTTGTCAAAAAGCAATGCTCCCCTGTAAGACCCTCCAGTTAATTTCTTTTGGAGTTTTGACAAGAATTCCTCTGCTTATCATGGACTCTGATTCCTTGGATATTGATGGTTTAGAACTGAATACTATTGCAGTTATTATTTTATCATATTACTGGACATTTTGTTGTTAAGGTTTATATAATTTAGTTTGCCTAAACCACCAGGTGGCAATCCTTGGTTGTCTTTCTGTTTAATTTTTTTTCGTTTGTGGTATTATGTATTCATTCCTCTATTTTAGTTTGTATGCTCTACTTAATTATGTAAACCATCCCAAGTAGTGTCTCACTAAATCAGGCAGTCTAGAAGCTCAATAAAGAAATAATTTTTAATCCACTGTTTTCCTAAAAAGGCCACATTATGATCACAGTCTGAAAATAGTTCAGTGGCTGATTCAGAGTCCGAATTCAAAGGCATACGGTATACAGTATTTATTTGGGGAGAAGAAAATGGAGAAACTACTGACTGGTTTTTTTTTAAGTAGCATATCATCAATTCAAAGTAGTTTTACCAGCTTGAAAATGGACATAAACTGAAACTAGTTATTTCTTGATTGTTTGTTCTTCCATCCTGTTTTCTTCCCCATAAGAAACTGCTTTAACCAGTCTCCTAGGTGTGAGTGAATCTCACACTCTTCAAGAACTTCCAGGAACTTTCAAAAGTTAAAGAATATTATTTCCATCTTAATAATTACCAGCAAGGCTCCAACTTAAAAATAAAAACTTAGAACAGCAACTGGGAAAGAGTTTGCTGCTGCCCCTGTCGCCATGAAACTCTGCCTACCACTGTTAAACTCAATGATAAAACTTCATCTGAAAAGGGAATAAATATATTTTAAACAAATAAAAGCACAGAGAAGGGAAAAGAAAGCAAAAAACATACAGAGTAGACTGCTGCACCTTCTGGTTCTAAAGAAAGGAAGGGAAACAAGGTAAAACAGCAGGGTATAAATTTAATAAATAAATAAAAGCACAGAGAAGGGAAAGCAAAGCAAAAAACATATGGAGTAGGCTGCTGCACCTTCTGGTTCTAAAGAAAGGGAAACACGGTAAAACTAAGTAAAGGTAGCTAGAAGATAAAGAAGTTTCTAGAAAGGTGGAAGGGAAGCTCTCTCTCCTCTAAAGAAAAACAGCCAATGAATCTTGACGTAAATTCGGAAGATAAAAGTCTAATTATTAGTAAACCGACAACACAAAGGTAATAAGGGCTTCTTATTTGATTCTCTGTTGGAAAACCTGCTATAGAAGGCCGCTGCTTTTATATTCCTCTCTTTTCTATCAGAAAACAGAGGGTCTCAGCATATAAGCGGGGGGGGGGGAACCTATGCTTGAAAATTTTATGCCACATAGAGGCACATAGACTACAATGCCGTATCAGCATTTGTGACAAGAATTTATCAACAACTGATGACTTGGAGCCAATATCAAAACTGGGACATGAAGCATACAGATGATGTGGCATATGCCCCATGGGCAAATTACAACAGCACAGCAAAAATATGAAATATTGTAAATAGCCAGGAGGGAGCAGAAGGGGCTATTGATGGACCAAGACATTTTCATAAAAATAGCAGATTGTCACTTCATCACCACTTTCTAGGGCATGCTACTTCAAGAAAATGTTTGGATTTATATCGGATTGATGGACACTTCAGTGAACAAGTTCTACAAACCAGGCACTCCAGCTTTGGCCTTGATTATTCCTGAGGACACCCCAGGAGAATAGCCATCTCATTTATAAAACCACTGGAACACCTCAGCAGTAGACTCTCTGTAATTCAGTTATGTCAAGTACTTCAATATAGTGACCAGCTTGCTGGAACACATGAAAAATGATTCTCCCCCATGATAATGGATGCTGACTGTAAATCTTACTTGGTACCTCGAAACCAAAGAGCATACAGCACAAATCCATTATTTGGTAGTAGGGATCCTCTTGAACTGACAGTCTTGTGATTTCCATATAACTTCTGAGGATGCTATTTTGACTGCTCAAAAAAGTTGTTGACCAGGCACTTTCATTTTACCTCATTATGCTTGAAGAATTAAAATGCCAATATATCTTCTTGTAGTTCAAATCATCTGAACCATAGGTTGGGAAAAGCTGGTCTGCATATGAATCAATCTAGGGTAGGGATCAGTCTAATCATCATAGCTGCACCACACAATTGGATTTTAGATTTTGCTATTAGGTCGTGGGTCAGCCAAGGCTAGGTTGTCATTTAGGAAAAGAAATAAAAAACCTATAGTGATTCCCAGCATTTGCACTGGGTTTTTAACATTTCAGGCAGCAATCGTTCCTTACTCTACCTGAAGTTGTCAGCAACTGTGGTATCTTACACAATTTTTGTTCTACAAAGTGGTTTTCCATGGTCTCTCCCATCTACTTGGGATATTCATCTCATCCATCCACCTCAGGACAAAGGAGTTTTAAGAATTTATTTACTGCTATCTGCTACTAAACCCGTTTGCTTTCAATCTGGGCATTGTATTTTCTCATCTATGTTATAGTTAACCATCTTTTGATAAGCACGCAGTGGGACTAAACAGAAAGACTATTGTGTGAGCATCAAACATCTAGCCTACTTGTAAGTAAAGGATATTTTATTAAGAAGTAATTGAATGAAAAAACTGTTTGCATGAGGTGGTTTCATTCCCACAAGACATTATCTACAAATAAATATAGTGTCATGCAAAGAACTAATTTTGAAACAGTTGGATGTGTTCAACTGTGTCTGGAGACAACCCTAATTGTGCCACTAAGGTGGCAGTTTTTTCTTTTATACAAGTAAGGGTAGGCCTTGTAACAGCTATGCCTTCTTTTACCCTTCTACAACATTCACTTTGTAAAGAATCAGTCCCAATACTGGTTCCACTAAACTCAATGCCACTTTCACAAACTGTTTTGTCTGTTGCTCCATTGCACTGATGACCAAAATCCATGTCCTCCATAGTATTCGTCAAATCTCCAACATGGGGTTGTGATTGGGCATGGTTAAGTTTCTTAAGCAAATATTCTTCATATTTTTTCACTTCATTCACTAGGTCACTCATCTCACTCTGTACAGCAGAACTGCATCCTCTGTGCTGACACCAAGATGAAAGAGCACTATTAAAATAAAAAAGGGTTAAAACATGCTTCAGTGAATGAAAAAAATTGCTTTTAAAAAATCAATTCATATTTATTAATTCACATTTGAGCTATTAGAGGAGCAATGATCACACAGTTTCATACTCCAGTTTGAAATATTCTGTTTGTGTCTCAGTCTGAATCCCTATATAAAAATCACCACGCTTATCAGAAACCATTTTTTAGAACAAAACCTGCTTCCTCCTTGCAAATGTCTGAAAAAAGCAAGTTACATTTTCATGTAAATATCAAGTTCATACTGCTGATTCTGGCAGAGGAAGTTGGATGAAATCCTATTGCATTCATGTGTGCGCAATGTGAATGATACAATCAGCAGTAGCAAATCATTACTGATCAAAGGGTTCCTTTGGCAATTTGGGAGTACACACAGCTTGTACATAATGCAATAAAGTTGCATGCACTCAGAAAGAATAACATGGACACTAGATAATGGATATAGCCACAAATGTTTAATTGTTATTTTAATGTAGTTTTCCTGATCTTTTTAAACAGTTGATTATTGTACAGTTTCCCCTATGGGGTGAAAAGTGGCATATAAATAGATGGATAAATATGTACAAAGATCAAAAGTAGGTGGAAGTTTGCATCTTCTGCTAAACTCTGCTGGTTAACTCAGATTTGGCAGGGTGTAAAAATATATCAAAATATATCATGCGGCTATAATTGATATAAAAACAATATACTCTTAATATAAATGAGACTGTATTCAAGAAATGTTACTGATAAGTGCAGATTTATTACTCTGCAGCAGAGATGTAAACATTCTGAAAATTTCCATTTTTTTCCTGAAAATAAATGTCTTTGGTTTTTTTCCTGTGAAAACATTGAAATTTTACATCTCTAAAGAGAACTTAAATACATAAAGTCTCAGAAACCTTTCATTAAGATCTTCATGTTATATAGTTTAAATACCATGTCATAGATATATTATTTATCATTGTAAAAGAACATATTCTACTCCATTTTTTCATTTTTTCTGGAAAAAACAAAAAAATTGTTTGAGAAAATATCTGTTTCTTTCCCAATTTTCTAGGTTTTTTCCCCAGACCTTCCCATTTCTATTGTGCAGAGCCTTCAACTCAAGAATTTTTATATTCATATGTCACAGCATACCTTATGGTTCCTTTAAGTTGGCCACAGAAAAGCATTGCTCTTACTGCTTCTTGATATCCCCGATTAAAACCCTGTTGAAGTGTCACCTCTTTGCCAGCTTCAATTCCTTCTGTGTAGCCTTCCTTCAAGCAAAGAGAAAAATGTCTACTTTGCAACTATCATGCAAATACTATAATATTCATTCACATGTGCCTCGCTTATTCAAATGTGCCAACTAAAATGTTCCAGTATTTTAAAAACATTTTTAAATGTTGTAAATGTTTGCATACTTTAAATATTTTTGTCTAGATAAATGTCTTATAATATGATGTTCTAAAGAGACAGCATTGTAATGGAAAGACCTTTTATGTCAGATTACAGTACATACCACAATATAGAAAATATTTCAATCTGGCATTTTCTTCCACTCGTCCAATAATATGTACTGAACAAGTACAGCAAGACCCCTGCATCCATGTGGCAGATACAGGGGTTCTATTGTAAATGCATTAATTCTTCCAAATAATTAACAAGGAAGGAAATGGATCACTGGAATTCAGGTCATGATTATTCTAACAGGGGGTCAACTATGTTGTGTTAACCAACCAATGACCTGCTCTTGTTGATTACAAGTTTCATCTGATCCCCAATTCCAGCTTCAACCACTAAAACTTCTCCAGAGTGAAACAATTTAACTGAATTGCACTGAGTTAACTTAAACTGATATTTGACACAAGGCCAATCTATAAAGAAGGACAGCATCCTCCACATTTCTCAGCACCCCTACAGCTCATGGGGGGGGGGAAATCACTCCTTTAAGGACTGGACCATTCAGGTATGATCAGTAAAACTTTAAAATTTGCAACTTCTATTGTTACTTTGACACGCTTCTGCATGGTGTTCTTCCACTCCTTCTGTGCTATGTCTATCTCACTGGCATCTTCATCAAACACATCTTCACTACAGTGATTGATTGCAGACTGTAGCCATGACATTTTGGCTGTGCATATAATGGAACCTATGGGCAGAATTACAAGAAATCCAGCATGGCAGGAATCAGTCAATCAGAGCAAAACGTGCAAGGGAGTAATACCAGTTGACGGTTACAGCTATATTTAAATTATCTAAAAACACAATGCACAAAGTGACACAGCAAGACATGCATCTACTGAGACTTCACACTAGCAATAAAGACGAGACTCGAAGCGAATAGGACTAAAATCCCAACTTTTCCTAGCGAGTATCCAGGAATCAGAGGATCACTCGCCCCTTCAGAACTATCATTCAAAGAGCGGGTCTCTGGGAGAAAAACCCGAAAAGGAGCGCCTCCCTCCCTCCCACGAAAGACTGATGAGCGGGGGAGGCAAAAAAACAAAACAAACCGGGGACGAACCGTAAGAACAGCCGCCTTCCTAGAGGATGGGCAGCTCCTTGGGCCTCCCCAAACGCCGGAGAGCCGGCTACCCGCCTTCGCCAACGGTCGACCCTCTCTCGCCCGGTCACGCCCCGGCCCGACCCCG